CGGGGACGGCGGCGGGAGCCCCCGGCCGGGGCAGGGAGCGGGGCCGCCCCGCTCCGGAACTCTCAGCACGGAGCGAGCGGCCGGCGATGGCGCCTGACGGGCAGCTGCCCGCAGACACGGGCAGCGCTGCCGAGAGGAACGGGAGTAAAGAACCGTATAGAAATGCCTTACGCGTAAGCGCTGGGGACGCGGCGGGGAGCGGGGTCAGAGCGGGCCGCGCCTCCCCGGCCGGGAAGCTCGCTTGTGGCGCTGCCGACCCATCACCGGGGCTTCCCTACTTCCCTCCGTCCCACGGCACCAGCGCTCGGCAAAATGTCTCGGCAGCTCATTTGCTTCTCCAGCAGCCTATCTCCCCCTGGCAGGTAACTCACGGATTGGCATCGCGCTCCCTACGGTGGGGAGCGCTTCCCTAAAAGCTGGCTACTCCCACTGGCAGTAACGAGTAAAAGCTGCCACACACAACTTTTTCAGAAAGGAAAAATCTGACTGAAACCTGGGGTAACGACAGTATTAGCTGTCAGGAAAGTAAGACTCATTTACCCTAAACCTGTGCCCTAAATTCCCTGGATGAGTAACTCGCTTTGTCTCTGTGCGCACCAAATCCTGATCTGTAGGATTGGGCTGGCCTGTCTCTGCCTTCACTTCTCTCACCCTCTGCCTGCCTTACAAATTTAACTGTAAGCTCCTGGAGCTCAGCGAGAAGATGGCTGGCTAATATTTCTTAAAAAGGCTTTGCCCCAGCAGAGAATTAATCAAGATGAAAACAAGTTTCTTGCATGAAGCATCTTGCCAGCCTCAGCACAAATCAAGAGACATAGGCACCGATTAATTAAAGAACAAATTAGTAAAAGTAAAATGAGCTGCTTTTGCACATAGCTTGAGCAGTTCACCCTTGCAAACCACCCTTTAATTCTGTTAATTTGCAAACTGCAAAGCTGGTCTAATTATTTCCCTTCATTTCCTCTGCAAACTATAAATACGCTGGACATACCTGGTGCAAGCTTCAGAGAGAAAGAACTTGAGCACAGAACACAAGGGTAATAACTTCTGTGCCATCTGTTTCAACAACTCTGAATGACTTAAAACTTTTTCACTTTTTAATTGCCATACCTCTAAAAACAGAGATACTTCATACCCATGCCAGAGCTCGCTCTTCTCCTTTTCCTCCCTGTTTCCTGCGTGGTATAAACTCTGTCCCCAGAAAGAAGAGTCCTCCTCTCCTACGACATAAAGATGGTCCCATGCAGGCAGATCTGTTCTCAGTCTGAGTTTCCAATACACCATTTATTTTTCCTATGGCACCAAACAATTCTGCCTCCAATCTTCCTCCTTGTCTGTATAGCAAGTAGACCATTTTGGCAATGGAAACCCAAAGCCAATTCAAATATTTGATATGTCCGCTGTCAGTATACAGAAATGCCTATGCACAAAGCTCCATATTAAACGGTAAAAAGAAAAACTGGGTACAGCTCAGTACACAGATTATGTTGAAACAGTGTCAAGTCAGGTAATCATTTAACAAGTGTGCCCATGGTATTGCAAGCATGTAACAGAGGCCAATTTGGCATATTTACTGTAAACTAGACATCTGAAGGCTCAAAAGCAGCTCAGTTACTGCTATCAGGATAATAAAAGGGGTAGAAATCACTCGATTTCACCTTTCCTTAAGGCAAGAAATTATCAATTCCCAAGAGAATTCAGTCCTTAATATGGGTGGAATAATTTCTATAGCCAGGATCTGAGGTAGAAGGGAGAGTTTCTAAATGCTGCTTTTAAATAAAAAACAATAAACATCAACACACAGTGGGTATATTTCAGACAGATGCAGAACATATGAGGAAGGCAGAGGTCCCATGTGACCCTTACAATAAAAGGTACTTTTACCCCAGCCTCCATTCACCACCATCCCTCAGCACACCTCATTGAAATGACAACTTTTCAAAGGCACTTTAGGGTAAAATTTAGCTCTCAAGTCGTCGCTGTTCTTCTTTCTCATGCCAATATCAACAGCTAATTAGAAACAGTGTCATTTGGGATATAGACATTATACAGCTCTGGAATCATTCTTTTTATTAAATCTTCCACACTAGGAAACCCAGTCAGACTTGCTAGCCTAAATGGAAAAATGTTGAGATAGCAACATTGCCCTGGCAGGCCAACCACAGCTTGGATGACATGCTTATATGTAGGAGTAGGACCCTGCACGGGAACTAGGGAAAAGCAATAAAAAAGAGAAAGGCTGATGTACTCTATTTTTTCCCATCCCTGGTGGGAAGTGGATGAAAGGGGCAGTGACATGCTGGGACCCGTATCAACATTTAAGCTGTTACAGTGAAGGAATAGTTACATGAACCAAGAAGAATAAAGCTCAGAAGCACTGCACCGCTGGGCCGTTACGGGCACAAGGGTGACCCGAGGGGCAGGTGAATTACAGCTTTCACAAAACTTTTAGTTAATGACTGAGCCTAAAATCACAGCCTGGACCTAGCGGCCTCTTCACCTCCGCTGTCCCTCCACTTTTTCTCTCCCCAACTGTATTTGTGTATTCCCATCCTGTGGCCAATTCATATTGATTCCTCTGCACAGGAAAGCAAGCACTGTTGCAGCCTCGCCAGCAGAGGTTCAATTTGTATTGATTCTGGTGGTGTGCTACCATTTATGTTGTAACAACTCTGTCCCTGCCACTTTGAGTGGGAGGCTGGTAACGCTTCCACATCTCCAGCCAAAACCCTGGCCCCAGAAGAGTAGAGGAAGCGCTCTAACGATGTCAGATGAATGCCAGGTAATAGATAGAAACCGTAAAAGTTCTGGGCATCAACGGTAGATCCGTTAACTGCCTTTTCCCTCACACTTTCTCAGAACAGGCTCATCCAGGGCTTCAGCTATCTCACCTGAAGACACACACCTACTTGTCCAGCCCACGCTTCCCACCTGCCCCCCACCCTGCGCTTGCAGTCATCACATCACAAGCCCACACCATGCTCCTACCTGCCTCAGCCAAACCCACCCCCGTTCCCTTGCTTGTTCCCGTTGCTGTGAGCGGCTCCCCCAGCGCTCGCCATGGCACACCACCTCGGGGGGCAGGTCCCGGCCCTGCTCTGCGCAAGAGGCAGCAGTGGGTGCCAGGTGGGGCTGAGGCCGGATGGCGCTGCCGGACCCTGCTTGCCATGGCAGGGCCACCGCCGCTGCCGAGGCCTGAGCGAGCTTCGGGTGTGTACTCAGGGCTCAAGTGAAGGTTAATGTGTCAAAACACACTACCGAGGATCTATAAAGAACCTGCCCATCCCCGTGGCTTGGATGACCGCTGCTTTCTGGGCCTCTTTGGCCCCATGCTTGCCTCTGGCTCCCCTTCTGGTGCACTGTCTTTCCAGACCTAGCTGCTTCTCTCCCTGTTCCACGTCCAGGGCTTCTCCTCCTCGTGCCTCACTGTGTGTGACACCTCTGAGCCCAAAGGAACCATTAATTGAAACCAGCGAGTATTTTAATACCGCTTTGGATCAGACCTTCCATTTTGAATACTGCTTTCTCTTTCTGCTCCATGATTTAACACTCATAAACACAAAAGACCAGCCCCTTCAGGCCACATAAAATGCAGCCACTAACTCACCTCCTCATTAATTTCATCTCATCAGTCCTTCATTGGTTGCACTGGCTTTCCCTCTACTAACGCCTCTTGCCACTCTCTTCAAAACTCTGCATACCTGCTCCATCCTCCTAATGAAATAACCCACTTCACATTAACTTCAGTAGCCTGTTTGTGAGCATCTCATAAAAACTGCTAAGGCGGCACCCACAAAATAAAATAAACTTTTACAAATCCTGCTGTAAGCTATTACTGAAACATACTATATAAATACAGTGACAACTGCTCCTGTTCTGCAACAGGGGCTTGCACAAACACAAGCACATGAGAGGTGACAGTCTTGCCCAGTAGTTTCAGCGAACAAAATGTCTTAAGATCAAATATTACTACAAGAGTGGGAGCTTTCTGTGGGTTATTAACTGTACTCCACACCACAGCACTACAATCAGCTAAGGGTGATCAATTGATAAATATAGTCCAAAGGGTGAACTGTTTAATTTCATGCATACAGAGATCACCACATAAAAGCATTAATCAAAATTGTTTGGCACTGCCTGTTCTATTCTCCAGCAATGTGCCTAGCAAGCAATCCCTTCTCTCCCCTGCAGTGCACTCTTTGCAGCTACTGTTTGGTTACATTTGATTCCATGATGCAGGCTTTGTAAAAAATGGACCTCTTCCAAAGACTAAGAGAAACATTACCTCTTCTGACTGGAAGGTGAACCAAAGTTCAGGGCCAGGCTGGCTGTTTCAGCTAAGAGAAAAAAAAACCCCTTGTGATGGAGTCTTTGATTTGTTTGCTTTTGTATATTCATTTTGCATGAATATAAATGACTGAAATCACAAGGCAAAAGGGAGTGAGAATATTATTTTTAACCTGACAGCTTCACACTGCTGTAGGTCTGCAGTTTCTGCTCAGCCCTGATCAGAACTGTTTAGTATCTTCATCAATGACATGGACAGTGGGATTGAGCGCACCCTCAGCACATTTGCAGATGACACCAGGCTGAGTGGCGCAGTGACACACCTGAGGGGCAGGATGACAACCAGAGGGACCTGGAGAAGCTCAAGAAGCAGGCGCACATGAATGTCATGAAGTTCAACAATGCTAAGTGCAAGGTCCTACACATGGGTTGAGGCAGTCACAGGCACAAACATAGACTGGGGGATGAAGTGATTGAGAGCAGCCCTGAGGAGAAGGACTTGGGGGTACTGGTGGATGAAAAACTGGACATGAGCTGGCAGTGTGAGCTCACAGCCCAGAAAGCCAACTGTCTCCTGGGCTGCATTCAGAGCAGTGTGGTGGCAGGTTGAAGGGAGAGGATTCTGCCCCTCTGCTCTGCTCTCGTGAGACCCCCCTGCAGTGCTGGGTCCAGCGCTGGAGTCCTTCGTACAGGAAAGACATGGACCTGCTCAAGCAGGGCCAAAGGAGGCCACGGAGATGCTCAGGGGGCTGGAGCAACCCCCCCTGTGAGGACAGGCTGAGAGAGTTGGGAGGGTTCAGCTGGAGAAGAGAAGGCTCTGGGGAGACCTTATTGCAGCCTTTCAATACTTGAAGGGGGCTTATAAGAAAGATGGGGACAGACTTTTTAACAGGAACTGTAGCGATAGGAGAAGGGGAATGGTTTTAAATAAAAGAAGGTAGATTCAGACAAGATATGAGGAAGAAATTTTTTACAATGAGGGTAGTGAAGCACTGTCAGAGGTTGCTCAGAGAGGTGGTAGATTCCCCATGCCTGGAAACATTCAAGGCCAGGTTGGATGGGGCTCTGAACAACCTGATCTAGTTGAAGATGTCCCTGCTCGCTGCAGG